AGTTTGGCACCATCCTTCATTTTCTGCACAAAATGCTCTGCAGCTATAACACATTGCAGAAACATCTCAAAATGACTGCATCAAAACATTAACACTAGTTTGCTCACAACCAGAATACTCTGTCATTCAGAGGACGGTCACCTAAGTTTTGCTTCATATTGTTATTAGTTTATTATTCTTTGGCTGATCATGTAAACAACATATATATTTTTTGTATAGGAACAAATGAAGTGATAGTGTAACATTCTGTTTTTCCCTGCCATTGTCTTTCTCTGTTTCTGTCTTTATTTCTGCCTTTTTTTTCATTCCCTCCTGTTTCGTCTTCCATGTGCTTTTGTTGTTGTTTTGGTCTGTGTCTCCTCCCTGGTCCTGCTCCCTGGTCATCTGTCCCACCAGTCTGTTGTCTGTAGCCCCAGGTGTTTCCTATGTGTTCTTTGTCTATTTGTTCCCCTTGGTTTGGTGATATCATTGCTTGGTGATGTTCGTAGTGTGTTTTGCTCATTCTTAGTTTGAGTAGTTTTTCTTAAGGATTTTGTTCTCTGTTTTTTGCTTTTGTGGTTCTTTCTTTAATACTTTCCTTGTTTTGCTTTTCTTTTGTTTGTGTTTTTCTTTTAGCTATTGTCTCCATGGACAGCAATGAAAGCTACTAGCTCACACTTGCATCCTGCCTTCTCACCTCCTTTGACTTCCAATATGTCAACTAAAAAATCCAGTGCTTTACATGAACTAGCACATTCACAGATACTGTAAATGTTACTCTTCCTGATCTGCTTCATTTGGCCACCTGTTCTCATGCACATCACATCTAATATCCTCTCTTGCTTATAAACTGTGCTGGGCCCATAATGCATTGTGAACAAATTAACTCCAGAAGTTACTCCTTTTCATAGAAGGTCAACACTTGGGCTGAACCTCAGCTCAGATGGGAATCAGTTGTAAATGGTCTTTTTACACGCAACAATTTGTCTTCACAGCATTATATTTTTTTGGACTTTGATTGTTGATCTGCTATAATATTTGATATTTACCAAATTGACGTATGGTTTATTTTCATGTCCAGTACTGGAGCTGAAATATTGAAAAGGAGAATCATAAGAATCATCAGGAGATTGTGAGTCTGATCCACAGTGATGCCACAGCCATCAGTGGTCAGGATGGTCTGGGTGGGTGGCCATTTCTCAGTGTGATGCTAGCCAACATGGGCGTCTCTTAGCCAACGCAACAGAATTGGCAAATAGCAGTTTTTAAGAGCTTTGAGCTGTCCAGTGATGTTGTTGTAAGGGCAGATCTGAAAAGATTCACTAGTCTCGGGAGAAGCATGTGCTAGCCATCACCCTGCCACCTTGGCAGCTTCATGTGATGAGAGGAGACTGAACTAGTGGGTAGAATTGGCAAAGGCTAAATCAAGCAGAAAAGTAAGTTAAAAAAAAGATCATTTTCAGGGACATAAAGTGTGAATAGCACCTACCAGAGCTACTCTTCACTGTCAGAAACAAAACCTTGTCTCCAAAATGGTCACTTTACAGGAGAGGAAAAAATGTTCCTACACTGAAAGCCCTGACATTATAATGTTCTTTCAGTTAGTTGCTATTAATCAATGTAGTTAATCAAGTTGTTTGTACTGCTGGTTGAAAATTCAACTGTACTTATTTTTGTGGGAAGAACAAACTAAAATTGACAAGCAATAAAAGAGCACAGGCCAGAGTCACTCACTCACACAGTGTAGGAGACTGTGCTCTAAGTGACAAAGTACTCTGACTGACAAAGTACTCTGGATGTTTTGGTGGAATTATTTCAATTTGAGATGTTTCTGTAATGTTTTATAGATGTAGAGCATTTTTGGCTGCATGTTCCTGCAGAGAAGGGTGTGAAGAGTTTTGAAAAAGGAAACTTGGTACTAAAAATGCTTCTAGCAATAGTTAGTTCTGTGTAGGGTGACTGAGAACAATATATAGATTTCCTGATCTGAGACAGCAGGTGCAGCTAGGAAAACACACGTCAGACCCCCGGACCATCAGCACTGGAGTTCCACAAGGCGGCACCCCTTCTCTTCTGTCTCTACACCAATGACTGTGTTTCTAAGGAACCAGTTTTTAATATCCTGAAATTTGCAGACAACACCACCGTGGTGGGCCTCATGGCCTACAGTGATGAGTCTGCCTGCAGTAAGGAAGTCGAGCAGCTGGTCTCCATGTTCAGCAGCAACCAACCTGCTGCTCAACATGCAAAAGACTGCAGGGATGGTGGTGGGCTTCAGCTCTCTGCAATGGCTCTTTGGTTTCCACTGTGGAGTCACTGAAGTTCCTGGGCAACACCATAAAGTCTCATGAGCCAATTTACACAGCAATCATCACGTTCATCCTCACATCATCTATGACCAACTGGTTTGGTTTCATCTACTTAACAAGAACGAGCCAAACTCCAGCTCATAATCAGGACAGCAGAGAGGATCATTGGATGTAGTCTACCAACGATTCAGGACATACAGCTGACCCCTCTCATCCTGGACATCACCTCTTCCAGCCACTTCCCCCTTGTAGAAGATTCAGGGCCATCAAGGCCAGCACAACTAGACACGCTAACAGCTTTTGCCCCAGAACTTAAACCATCAAACCTCCATACTGTAGCACAAGAAGTTCCTCTGTAACATAATGCTCTGTGCACAACTGTACAGATGTTCATTGTTACAAATGTTCATTCTGTTAAATTCTGTAAATGATAGATTCTATATGATATGTTTAATCAGGCACGCTTATATATAGACATTCATATCTGTATCACATCAGATATTCACACTTCTCTTTATCTCCTTTCACTTTGGCTCTTTACTGTTCTTCATTCAATGTATTGTATCTTTTATTTTATTTGCCCCTTAGAGAAAAATTGTTATACATCTGTTTGTTTGTCTGGTCTGGTCAGGTCAGTAAGTTACATGTGTACACTCACCTAGACAAATTCCTTGTCAGTATAACATACTTGTTGAAATAAAGTGATCCTGATTTTGATTTTGATTCTGATCAGACAAACAAAGCTACTCATATTCATGTGAACACTGTGACATAGCTAGCTAGTAGCTAGCTCTAGGCTTTTATTTCCTCTGTTCAACAAAAAGTATCTGTTGTTGATTTTCAGACTGTGTTTGCTAACTGATCTTAGATTGTAGAACAGATTTTCTGCTGGCATTTTTAGTGTTTGCTTACAATAATAGCCCTAGTTTGGCTTCTCATTGTAGCCAAGTTCTTACTGACTTTATGAAAACAGACCCCAGCAGACTGACTTTTTAATTACAGCTTTATATTAACTAATTAAAGCATGACATTGCATATTATCATACTAGAATCTTTAACATTATGATGTATATGTTTTTTGGTAGCCATAAACACTGGACTTTTTCATGGACAGATTTGGAAATGGTCAAACTAACGTACACATAGAATCACAATGGATTTTTTACTTCTTTTTTTTCATTTTATTGTAGTTAGGGCTGTGCATGAATACTTGAGCACTCTGTTGATGGCTAAGAGGTTTCTGAACATGAATGCTGAAATCACCGGTCAGGTATTCATTGTTTTTATCACAGGAAGATAGAATAAAAATGAAATAAATGTGAAAGTTTTGCTCGTCTTTGTGAGAAAGTATTTTGTCATATTTTGGTACTCTGAGTGTCTTAATGTAAGCATGTTGCCAATGACGCAGATGCAGATACACCACAGCTTTTATCGCTAAATAGCCTAAGCTGTTACTGGTTAGCTATAGCTTTAGCGTATTAACTCATCTGAGACAGTCTCTGTTATGTTACTCATCCAACATGAAAACCTACCAATTTCATCCTGTTTTTGGCTACTTTTGAATACTACATGTTAAAGAATATATTCTTTGTTCTTTTGCTAAATTTTTGTGCAACACCAGTGCTGCCACCTAAAAAGGTAATCCACATCTTACCAGCACAGAGGATCAAATTACTTTACATCATGATATATGTAAAATATGGGTTCTAGTGAGGACTGTATGTTTTAGTTCTTATTTTGTTGGCATTGTTGCTTTTGATTGTGGGGGGTGGGGGAGATTTTTGTGCAGGACAGTCTGCCACTGATTCTTTAAATAAAATATGCTTACAATTAGTATTTTGCATGATTTATTATTTATAACTTAAAAGATAGAATGTACATCAGTGAAAATAGTAGTAAAACAATGTACAAACACTTAAAACATTAAAACAACCAGCCATTTGGTAATATAATCAAACATCTCTAAATATTTTCCATGTTCTACCTGCTGATAAAACTATGTTAAGGCTTTCTAAATTAAAAATATTAAAAGAAAGATAGAAAATGTAAGAAAATCCAAGAATTACCCAGTAATAACAGCTGCAGCACTGTGGCTATAGGGTAGTAAATGACCAGCAGTGATTTATGGCGGACTGTTAACGCACACTTGTTTGCAGGGGTTAATCTTTACAACATAAACTACAAATTTACTCATTTATTGAAGCTGATTACTTAGTAAAGGAGGTTTACTAAACGTTGATCTAAATTCTGAGCCTCACAAATCAACTCTTTTTTCATTTTTTCTTTTTTCTCAATATAAAACCAGTTTTACAGTGATACTTTTTCTTTAATTATTTCCACAGGATTTTCTGTTTTATCTTTCACTCTATATTATGTAAAAACCAAATTCCAGAGCATGTTTAGTATGTTTTGATTTATTTTATCATTTGGAACCTAAATATCAGCTGTATAATGCACTGTATGACTAAATGTACAATTCAACAAAAATCTCTTTTCTCACATTTGTGTTTGACATGCTGAATATTTTCTCTCTGTCTCTCTTTTTCTAGTTGTAAATAAAACTTTGGCTGCTGGATTTTGGTGCAGCTGAAGTCTGTTTTACAGGTAGGCTTTAAGTAACACAAGCATATTCATCATGTTTGAGGATAAATCACATCTGAGATGTTCTAATATCATAAAAACAAGCAGCTCTGAAGTTACACTAAGCAATATTTAGATTCATTCATTAAGCAGTTGCTGAAAAGAGTAGCCCTTAATCATTGGTTAGTTAAACCTCCCAATAAACCAAATACAGTGAATTTTCTATAAGAATTACAGTTATACAATGGTTATACAGATATGTCTGATTAATATATATTATTAAAACATCATTCAATCATTCTGGAAACTATTGTTTACTAACTACTAAAGAAGAACAACTAATCCCAGGTACTGGTGAAGAACAAAGACGTGCTGTCTCCATCAGGGAGTGGTCTTACGGATGTTTCTCACTTTCAGAGTGAAGTTGCTGGGAAGTCCCAACCTGATGAGCTCATCTTGAAGCTGAAACAAAAGCTCAGTTACATTAAACTTGCTTTACCTTATCAAACTCTAACATAGAGGCAGATGTTTCATTATGATAATCACAACAGCATAATATCTACAGTGGTTTAATGATGTGTATACTGAAACTTACAACGTGTAGCAGTTATGTGTTAAATAAGGAAAAAATTATCAACAAGGACTAGTTTTTTACATATTTTCTTGATAATCTGTATAATTAAGATTAAAGTGTATTAATCCTGTTAGAGAAATTAGGGACAGGCTCTTCACTGGGTCCTTGTTAGATCAGGTTGGAATGAACAGCTTATCAGTTTAGATAAAGACAGTGAGGAAAGAAAAGCTGCTCACCTGCATTAAAACCAGTCCTTCAATCTGAGATCCAGAGCGACTCTTCTCATCTTCAACTTGCACTCTCAGTCCCATAACATGACCTGTGACAAAAGTGGTGATTATAAGCATGTAATAAATACATGCTTTACTGATATACGCAGATTTATGTACACAAAAAATGTAGTGTTTTATGTGTGACTAAGAATTCATGAAAACATTTTATAAATGTTCATTATTCAGACATACATTTTCAACAGAGATGTAATTAGAGGAGGTGTTAGAGTAGACATTCACACTGAGGTCCACGGTGAAGGGCCCACCCAGCCTGACCTGTCACTTTAACTGTTAATAAATAAGAGATGTATTGTAGAACTAGCTGGCGAGTTAGCTTAGTTAGTTAACTAGATCTAATATCACAAGCATCACTGAGCCTTAATTTCAAATGTCCATATATTTAATATATCATATGGAATGGAGCATTATTTACACTGGAATGTTTAATTGACTGAACTAGTTATGGTGCTGTCATACTTCATGAACGGCTATTGTATTTAGGCGGGCTGTTTAGTATCAAATGATATACATTTTAAGTCTGGAATCACTTCTTATTGTCAACAAACAACTACAGGCATCTTAGAAAATGAAATCTAAAGTCATTTATCTGGGTAAAGTAAGTGTTTCTTTGTTCCAGAAATACCAACATTAGAATAAATAGGAACAAAAAATGCTTTTTGATTTGATGTATTTTAGATAAATCATTTTGTAAGTCTTTCCTGGATGATGTCTAGTATTTACAGAGACTATACAATACTTGTTTATCTAATCATCCTTCATTAAATTACATCAGGTGCTGCTGGAGTGAGAAGTCAGAAAACAAACCTGTGTTCTTCTAACATTAGTAATCTAATCTTCATAATAAATACTTTCACTGCCAAACAACACATTATATGCTTACAATTAGTAAGCATATTTGTGTTTATTTAATGAATGAATTAATTAATTCATTAGATATTAAATCAAAAATATATCTTACATTGTCATGTGTATTAATTCAGTAATGTTCATATGGGGGTCATATTAGTTGTTTTTGCACTGGAGCCCATAAGATTCTAGTTTTTGCCGATGATTTTACTGTTAATCATTCAGTACATATTAAAATGAATAATTAATGAATGGTAAATGAACAGAGATTGAGCTCAAGAACTGTGTAAAGAGCTGTCTACTGTAGACTTTAAGGAAGGCTAAGAAGAATGTGCTTTTCTCACCTGGTGGAGGTGCAACTGGACAGAACCCACAGCACATGATCAGCAGTTAGCATTAGAAAAACAGTTTAAAGGTTAGCATTTAAAATAGTTTTGTGCTATTACAAAGCTGGTAATATAACCAATCAACTAACAAACACTAGGAACGGAAGACATTCATTTTAAAAACATTTTACAAAACTACACCACTCACCACTGTAGCAGAGGAATGGGAAACTGGCAAAGCAGTCTTCATCTGTCCAGTAGCCTGAATAATCCACAGCTGTACAGTGTTGATTTCCATTTTGTCCAGAGTACACACCATTATCAGGTTCCTGGGTTGCATACTGGATCTCTGGTCTCCAATAAGTGAAAGTGGAGTTGCTCTGATCTGACCACCGTCGGTTTCTATACAGACCAATCCAAACTGCATTGCCATTTGAAATTCTGATTATTTGCTGCAGCTCAGTCTGGTTCCTCACACTGGCCAGGTCTGTGTAATTGTTTCTACAGTAACTCTGAGCTTCTGCCCAAGTCTTTCCTTCAGAAACCCACACATATGTGCTGTTATTACCTAAGAAAGAGCAGTGAAATGTATGTATCTTTAAGATTACTAAATACGAAAATCATTGTGTAACGCTTAAAAAACATCTGGTGGTTGATTGGCAACAGGTCAGTAACATGATTGGGTATAAAAAGAGCCTCCCAGAGAGGCTGAGTCTTTCAGAAGTAAAGATGAGGAGGAGTTCACCACTCTGTGAAAGACTGCATGATCAAATAGTGCAAGAATTCAAGAATAATGTTTCTCAACATTAAATAACAGAGAACTTTTGCTTTTCATCATCTACGGTACATAATAACATTAAAAGATTCAGAGAATCTTCAGAAATCTCTGTATGCAAGGGACAAGGCCAAAAACCAGTATTTGCTGGCCGTGATCCCTCAGACAGCACTGCATTAAAAACAGATTGATTCTCAAGTGGAAATCACTGCATGGGCTCAGAAAAAGTTCTGAAAAACACTGTCTGTGAAAACAGTTCAACACTGCATCCACAAATGCTGATTAAAACTCTTAAATGCAAAGAAGAAAGCACATATAAACAGGATCCAGAAACGCTGCCACCTTCTCTGGGCCCAAGCTCATTTAAAATGGTCTGAGGTGAAGTGGAAAAGTGTCCTGTGGTCTGACAAATCAACATTTGATTTTTTTTGTTTTTTGGAAATCATGGACACTGTGTCCTCCGGGCTAAAGGCCACTCAGCTTGTTATCAGTGCACAGTTCAAAAGCCAGTATTCATGATGGTATAGGGGTGTATTAGTGCACATGGCGTGGGTGACTGGCACATCTGTAAAGGGACCATTAATGCGGAACGATATAGATCGATATTACGATATAGAACAATGTGCAAATGATTTATATCATCTACACATATATATGTTTTTTTTTAAATATGTGCCTATGTTTGACATTAAAAGTTTTTCAATTTAACTTTCATCTAAGACTCGTGCTTGTGCTGTCATCTTCTCAGATCTACTCTTCTCACAATCAAGTGCAAAACAGTATTTTTCTGATTGTCACCTTTAAAGATGTTGCAAAATACTGCTTTTTTCCTTCATCCTTGCATAAAATAAGGAAGATACAGATGTGAAATCAAAGGTAGATTTCTACAGATGTGAAAATAATTTCCCTGCCTTAGAGAATAATATAAACATTAAATAAATGAAACATTATATTAAATAAAACTTTGCACAACAGAATGAATTAGTAATAAATTTGTGCTTCGTAACCAAATTAAAAGCCTGAAAAAAGCAGGTTATTTAATTCGGTTTGATATTTGCAGCACTTACTGTTATAGCATACAAATCCTCGTATATCAGTACAGGGAGTATCAAACCATTCCCCTCTTGAAGACATGTAAACACACAGCTCTTTCCCATAGTAGTTATCTGGTTGATGGTACCACCCTCTGAAATCTCTCTCTCCCTCCTTGTAGAAGCTCTCATCATCCAGAGACCATCTCCAGCTGTCCAGATCATCATACAGTCCAATCCAGGCTAAACCAGAGTAGCTGCCATTTACTGTGTTAATGAGTCTGTTCATTTCCTCCATGTTATCAATGGTGGCCAGGTCAGTGTAATTCTCTCTGCAGTATCTCTGAGCTTCAGTCCAGCTCTTAGTCTCATTAACAAAGTGATACTGACGAGATGGTACTGCTAGAGAAGCATTAAAAATATCAGAATTGACATCTGTCCATTTAATTTTGAAAAAGGTAAATTATATTTATGTAGTGTACACTCTTTATTTAAGCAATAAAGCAATACAAACAAAAGCAGTTTGTATTTGAAACAGGTGTACTCACCACTGTAGCAAAGAAAAGGAAAAGTGCGACCACAGTTTTCATCTGTCCATCGTCCAGAGTCATTGAATGACACAGCTGTACAGTATTCACTCTGTCCAGCATTATCTGGTTGTCCTGCTTTCCAGTAGCTGAAAGAAGAGTTGCTCTTATCTGACCAGGACCTGCTCCTGTACAGACCGATCCATGCAGCGTAATTATAATAATAATTTACCAATGATCTTAACTTCTTGTTCTCAGTTTCGTTCCTCACACTGGTCAGATCTGTGTAGTGTTCTCTGCAGTATCTCTGAGCTTCAGTCCAGTTCATGTATTGATTAACAAAAACATATCTTGCAGTGGCATTCACTCTTCCTAAGAGAAACAAATATCATTTGTCATTTTGAAATAAATACTATGGGCTTTAAGAGCCGTTTTCAATATTTATCAGCTGTACTCACCATCATAGCAAATAACGGGGTATGTATCAGAGCAAAAGCTTTCCCACCATGTGGCGTAAAATTGTGAAAACACTGCACACATGTGGTTTCCTCCCCAGTTAACAGGTTTCTGTATATACCAGTTTCTGAAGTTTGTCACATTCTCCTTGTAGAAACTCTTATCATCCAGAGACCATCTCCAGCTGTCCAGATCATCATACAGTCCAATCCAGGCTAAACCAGAGTAGCTGCCATTTACTGTGTTAATGAGTCTGTTCATTTCCTCCATGTTATCAATGGTGGCCAGGTCAATGTAATTCTCTCTGCAGTATCTCTGAGCTTCAGTCCAGCTCTTACTCTCATTAACAAAGTGATACTGATGAGGGACACATGAGAGCCCTGTGCACAACTCTATATTTTAAAAGGCAAAAAAGAAAAACATTTAAAAAATTTTAAATACATTTTTGTGAATTAGATCTAGATTGTAAGCTTCACGAAGAAATATCAATAGAAAAAACAATCATATTTTTACACAAATGACATGCATTTTTCTGATCATAAGAAGAAAACACTAGCACAAAATTTCTCATGATCAGTAAACAGCTTCCATGTGTACATTGCACTGCACAACCTTATATCCAGATCTAAGGACCATTTACGAACCTTTATTATTAAGAGTGAATCTAATAGTTTGGTTGCTGAGCAAAAAAGAAAAAGGCAAAAATTTGGTGTTTTCTCCAACAGCCACGAACGATTAATCAGGTGTCATCTACCTATTTAGTCTTAAAAACTGAATGTGTACTAATGTGAAAATAAAGAAGAGGAAAAAATTAACTCACTGCTGTAGCAGACAAAGGGAAGCGTGGCTAAGCAGTTCTCATCTGTCCACAGGCCTAAATCACTGAATGATACAGCAGTGCAGTGCTGATCACCAAACTGTCCAAAAACATATAAACCATTGTCTGGTTCTTCGGGACTGTAAGAGATATATGGTCTCCAGTTTTCATATGTAGAACTGTGCTGGTCTGACCAGAGTCTGGTCCTGTAGAGACCAATCCAAACACCAGAGCCACCTGTAATGTTGACAATTCTCTGATTCTCAGTTAAGTTCCTCACACTGGCCAGGTCTGTGTAAAACTGTCTGCAGTAACGCTGAGCTTCTGCCCATGTCTTGTACTGACTTATCCAGATGTAGTTGTCAGTTCTATTTTGGCCTGAAATACATTAATAATTTTACCAATTATGTCTACAAAAGAACAACCAAAATATCAGTAGACAATAAGTAAAATATTCATACCATTATAGCAAATATACAGGAAAAGATAAGTTATTTAAATTATTCTGATATGTGCAGCACTTACTGTTATAGCAAACAAATGTCTGTGAATAAGTACAGGCAGTATCAAACCATTCCCCTGTTGAAGACATGTAAACACACAGCTCCCTCCCATTGTAGTTATCTGGTTCATGGTACCACCCTCTGAAATCTCTCTCTCCCTCCTTATAGAAACTGTCATTATCCAGAGACCATCTCCAGCTGTCCAGATCATCATACAGTCCAATCCAGGCTAAACCAGAGTAGCTGCCATTTACTGTGTTAATGAGTCTGTTCATTTCCTCCATGTTATCAATGGTGGCCAGGTCAGTGTAATTCTCTCTGCAGTATCTCTGAGCTTCAGTCCAGCTCTTACTCTCATTAACAAAGTAATACTGACGATATGTTGATGACATTGCTAGAGAAACACAAAACAAATGGTAGAAATTATGTTTACCTTTTTATCCTGAACTAGTTTTCTACAGTATAGTTTACAGTTCTTGTACAAAAGGACATTTTACTGACCAGGAAATATTGTTACTTTGGAAACACAAGTGAGAAATGAGCATGACTGTTGAGCTTCCAAAGAGTTCTACGACAGCTGTGGCGTTTTTCATGAATTTAAAAGTGCATAGTCATCTGACTGTATATTATGGCACTGTACCAGCCAAACAATCCCTTTAATGATGCAGTGAGTGTTCATGGTTCTGTATAGAACCACTTTCTTTACTAAAGAACCCTTAAAGAGCTATCTTTGGCATAGCTAAAAGAAAGACAAGCCATGTTGGATAACTGGAATCCTAAGAACAAATTCCCAAAACTACCAAAGACGAGGCTCCGGGAATTAACAAAACAAACCCACTGTAGTGTAACATACAGAAAGAAGCTAAGCAAGTGATTAAGAATTTAAGAACCACATTTTGTGTGCAAGTGAGCCACAGCTGTATATGTTTGAACCTAAATATACACATGAAAAAATGCATCAGGTGGAAGCTGGACCCACCAGTGACTCCCCGGATGTTACAGTAAGTGAGCACAGCAAAGAATAACCTTTGCATAATGTAATGTTCTTTTTTTAAAATTATTCTTCTTCAGTATAAACTGGTTCATAGATCCTTCTTTACTCTACATGAACTTTGTTAGAATGGGTAAATTTTAATGTTTCCTATTGTACTCTGCATTCTACAGATTTTTGTAGATGGTACCTGGGCTTGTGCTTCAGTTTAGTGGCTTTAGTAGTCATTATAGTATTATTCCATTTCCCTATAAGGTGATTTATCACTGTTCAATGTTCCTTCTCTGTTTTCAGTTCCTTTGAATGATTTTTTTTTATTAAATAATGTAAAAAGCTGGACTGTACCGTTTTGAAACCGAGGATTTCTATTTATGATAATTTAATGGCAGCTGTAGACAATTTTTCTAATTATTAAACTTCTTTTGAGATCTATATGAAGCAATTTAGCAAATTTGTCACTTCTGTGTACTGTTGTTTTTGTGTTGGGGCACATTGTTTTGTGTTGTTCTGATTTCTGATGATGTCACATATTTCCAATAACAGAAATAAAAATAGGAATGTCACGCATCCGGTGAGCTCTCAGAAAGAGACGGACTTCATCTCCCAGACTCCAATGGGAGATCACGTGACTGAGCAACTGAGCAACTGAGCAACTTCCCTCAGACTCGAAAGTTGCTCCAAGCTTTCATAAATGACGTACTCAGAGACATGTTAGGGCAATTTGTCATAGCCTACCTTGATGACATTCTTGTCTACTCACCTTCCTTAGAGTCCCATGTACAACATGTCTGAGCCGTGCTACAACTGCTCTTAGAGAACAATTTGTTTCTTAAAGGAGAAAAGTGTGAATTCCGCCTACAGCCAGTGTCCTTCCTGGGCTACGTCATCAGCCATCAGGGAGTTATCATGGATGACCACAAAGTTGAGGCGGTTGTCCAATGGTCCACACCCACTTCAGTTAAGGAATTACAGAGATTTTTAGGTTTCACCGATTTTTACCGCAGATTTATTAGAAACTTTAGCAGTATTGCAGCCCCTCTAACCTCTCTGCTAAAAGGAAACCCCAAGAAGATCACATGGTCTCAAAGAGGCTTTTACAACGGCTCCCATTTTGAAACACCCAGACCCCACACAACCCTTCGTAGTAGAGGTTGATGCATTGGAAAGCGGAGTCGGAGCGGTGTTATCACAGCAGACTGGATCCCCTCTGAAATTACATCCCATTGTGTTTTTTTCTCATAAGTTGTCACCTACAGAGAGAAATTGATCGTGAACTATTAGCAGTCAAGCTAGCCTTGGAGGAATGGCATCATTGGCTGGAAGGAGCCAACCATCCATTCACAGTATTGACTGATCATAAGAACTAAGAATATCTTCATACTGCCAAAAGACTCAATGCCCGTCAAGCTAGATTCCGGAGGACATCGTATCGGACAGTGGACCTCAATTCACATCCCAGGTATGGACCGCCTTTTTTGAACACATCGGGGCATCCATTAGTCTATCATCAGGGTATCATCTGCAATCTAATGGACAGTGTGAGAGAGCAAATCAGGAACTGGGAAAGTTTTTGAGACTGTTTTGTCATGATAATCCATCTGATTGGTCGAAGTTTTTGGTTTGGGCCGAGATCGCACAAAATTCATTGACTAGTTCTGCCACAGGAATGACCCCTTTCCAGTGTATTTTGTCATATGACAGGGTTGTTTACTTTCTAAGCCCGGGCTTTAGTTAAAACGGGTGCGAGGTATTGTTTCTCTGTAAACTACTGAGCGTTCGTATTCTGATTGCCTGTATTCCGTGTTTTGGCCACTGCTTTGTTTATCCTGATTCTGTCTTTTGCTTCGTCCTTTTTGTACATTTGCCTGTTCTGACTGATCTGTGTTTTGGAACCCTTTGGCCTGTTTTTGTGACTTCGTCTTTTGCTCTGCCCTTTTGAAGTTTGTTTGCCTTGTGATATTAAACCGCTGTTGTTTTTTACATCTGCAAGTGTCTGGTTTCTGTTAATACCTAACAAGGAAATTAATGACATCAATTAATGAATAAAAAACTTTAAAAAGTAGTTTATCTTTTTCCCAACAGAAATTTACTCACCATTATAGCAGAGAAAAGGCAGAGTGCGACCACAGTTTTCATCTGTCCATTGTCCAGAGTGATTGAATGACACAGCTGTACAGTATTCACTCTGTCCAGCATTATCTGGTTGTCCTGCTTTCCAGTAGCTGAAAGAAGAGTTGCTCTTATCTGACCAGGACCTGGTTCTGTACAGGCCGATCCATGCAGCGTAACCATAATAAGATAATAATCTCAACTTCTGGTTCTCAGTTTCGTTCCTCACACTGGTCAGATCTGTGTGATGTTCTCTGCAGTATCTCTGAGCTTCAGTCCAGTTCTGGTACTGATTAACTAAAACATATTTTGCAGTGGCATTCGCTCTTCCTAAGAGAAACAATTGCAATATATCACATTTATAAAGAAGAGTTCCTGAAATTTAAGTCTACTGTTCTATGAGATCTATAACAGTTGTGCTCACCATCATAGCATATGAATGGAAGTGTGGAAGAACAAGAGTCAGTCCACCATGATGAAGTATAACTTGAAAAGTACACACAGTGAGAGTTTCCACCCCGGTTCTGAGGTTTCTCTATATACCAGTTCCTGAAGTTTCTCTCATTCTCCTTGTAGAAGTGATCATCATCCAGAGACCATCTCCAGCTGTTCACATCATCATACAGTCCAATCCAGGTTGATCTGCTGTTCCTGATGTCCACTAAGTTTTTAATCTCCCGTGTTTCTTCACTGTTATCAATGCTGGCTAAATCAACATAATGTTCTCTGCAGTAACTCTGAGCTTCAGCCCAGGTTTTACTTTCATTCACAAACTGATACTGACGAGGAAGACAAGCACTGAGAGTGCAGAGCCCTGTTTAAGACAATTTAACTTTATAAAACACAGTTTTAAATACATTGTTTTAAACAAGGAAATAATGTATGTTTAATTTGAGTCTCACATGCATGTCATTTATAAAGTTAACATATGATACACTAACAAGATGACTGACCTAAGATCAGCACGAGCTGAAACATGGCTCTGGAAAAAAAATAAAGAGTGAATAGATACAATAATACATCTATTACATGAGTACGTAAATGAAATGTAGGTCTTTTTAATCATATTTCTAAAACAATCTGTCACAAATGTGTTTGGGGATTCACCGGAAGTCTTCCTCTCCAATATTGAGGTTTTTTTTTTTACTCCATACTCCATTCAACTGTCTGGAGCAAACCAAGCAATTACTTCACTGGTTATGCCCTCACAAAAGCAGTGGTGTATTTTGGCATGCAATAGATTGTGAAGATAGATCTGTGCATGTACTGGAATACTTGGCCAAAGCAGTAGGTCATTCAGGAATCTTTGGTGTTCTGGCCAAATTCATGTTGGTCACATGCTGCTCACTACTGACTATGTTTGGGCGCAATCGGTACATGAGCGGTGTGTGTCAAAGACCGCATGTTTGGACTACAATTCATAGCCTTTGTAACCTTTCTAGGTGATTAGTCTTTTCTAATCGATATTTAACATGGACTGTATTTCTGACCATGTTTGTGGATTATGAATTAGATTTCTTTGTATGGACTTGTGTTCATCTGTTTTTTGAACACAACTTTGGTTTTGCTGCTAAAACCTGCACTTGGATCCCACCTGTGAGTCTGAGTTAATCTTTTACACAGTGGGCTTCAATCATCAATCTTTCTTAAGTAGAAATTTCTTTGCAAAACCCACTTACACAGTTATACACAGAACAGAATCTACACACACTCAAGAGCACAAAAAGTACAAAAAATTCAAAGCTTTATCTGAGATAGACTTTTCTTAGGACCTTTCTCAAGAACAAAACCTTATGAAGATATTGGTGAATGAAGCCTGATCTTTCTAGGGTGCTCTTGCACTAAAAAAAATGGTTTGTCAATTAAATTTTAAAAAATTCTAAACTTAAATCTTAAACAAGGAGTTTTAAGGTAGAGTCTATATATATGTTTTTTCAAAAATTCTACATGATTATTAAAATGTAAACAACATCATTCAGAATGTTTTGGTGTGAAATGGTTAATGACAGAGGAACTTACCAGACTTCTTAAGAGTGGGGATAATAGGAACCAGGGATTGCAATGTCTATAACACAAATATAGCTGTTTTATTTACTGTCCAGATCCACCAGTGAACCTACATGTGCCTTCTGAGTTTTTATCTTTAATGTTGATCGTTATAAAATAGTGGGTAATCTGAAAAATAAAAGTGCAATTTAGCCTAAAACTGTAATAAACAATGTCTCAGACATCAAACAGTATGTTCCTACCATTTCATATAATAAGTTTCTCTGAGTGCCTTTAAGAGGCATTAACCTCTTTAAATGTCTGGTTCATGTCACCACCACTGTGAACAATTCTGACTCACTGTGTTTCTCCAAAAAGGTACACATTAAACCTCCCTGAATAACTTTGTTACCATCCTGACTATAGAATTACACAGAAATTATCCATTAAATGCAAATCCAAACAAACAGATTAGATCAACAAAACTATTATTACTTCAAAACACTTCACATCATCTCCTGAACTGTATCAGCTGTACGGTGTAGTTTAAAACTTAAGTCTTATAATGAAAACATTTACCTCAGATTTCTGATCTGGTCTCTTCTTCTCTTCTCTGCTTTCTGTTTGCTCCTCTAAGTATTAATAAGAAGCCTCAGTTGTGGGAGGAGATTACTGCTGCGCTCACTTCTGGTAATCAACAAGAATCCAGAAACAGACCTTATAAAAACACATGGTAAAGATACGGTAAGAGAAAAGAATAGAACTGAAAACATCTCAGAGTAAAAGAAACTCTTCCTTCAGTCAAACATAACACTGAGTCTCTCTGCATGCACAAAAAGTGTCATAGGATTCTATGAGCAGACTGCGATGTACGTCAAATGCATAAAAGTGAAATATGTTACTCAATGAGACCTAGTAAAAAACAGATTCTGACATACTAACAACAGAAGAAAATATTTGCAGGAGATGTCAAAATTCTGAAACTATATATTAACTAATATTCCACGTTCTACTTCTCGATAGATTCAGATCTAAACCAAAAACAAGATCAGAAATGTCATAATTACGGAAAGCAACTACAACTCTGACAAAAAGTATGAGGACGAACGTCATGCATAGTATGCGTTGATGAGAAATGTTTACGTTTTGTTATTTTTTTCTCCTGTTTTCAAGCAGCAGAACAGCACTTCGCAGGGGTCCACTGATTATCAAATAAAAGCAAGCACAAAAAAAAATATTTTAAAAAGATAAATTCCTAAACAAGTCAGCAGTTCACAACAACAACAACAACAACAACAACAACAACAACAACAACAACAACAAATAACAAAAGACAGAAAAACTCAAACGGTAGAAAACTTACTGAAAAACAGTCTAACCATTGAAGAAAAAACAAAACAAAACAAAACAAAACCAACAAAACAAAAATTATTATTAAAAGGTATGAATGAAATTCTTCAATGACGTCAGGTCTTGGTTCAGCTTTACTCAGTTTTAAGAACAGAGTGAAAATTGCAGTCATTTTAAAATATACACAACAACAGAACTATAAGGCTGTTTTGCTGTGGGCAGATACTGCTCTTTCACTTTGAACAATGGACTGTAGAGCAGGGGCGGAGCTTGAGAAGCCAAACAGGTTCTAGATATTAACTCAGCCAGTGTGAGGTACAAAATTCAGTACTGTGTAATTAGCCTGAGTAAAATGTTAGTAATTACCAGGGCGTTGGCTGGGCATGTAAAGATCTAGGGCTCAGTCCAGTTCATTGTAGAACTGTTATAGGGTATTGTAAAATGTGCAGTTGCTACTTTTTTATTTAGTATTAGCGTTTACACTTCAACAAACATGCAGCAATTCAGCATTGCTGATTGGGTCTTATAAACCAAATTATTAAAAAAAGAAAAAGAAGAAACAGGTTCTCTGTGCATTTCCTCTCTCTCCACATTAGTCTCTTCCATACCTCTCTTCTCTAATGTCTAATGTTTTAATATCGCTGTTGTTGGAAGAAAACCTTGCATCTCCAAAATACTAAACTTTACAGGAGGAAGAAAAAATGTACTCTAATTTAGTCAATGGAAGCAAAACAACTTAAATGAACTAATGTAAACAAAACTTTAAAATGTTTACACTTATAACTGAACCTACTGAGGTGACCAGTTACTCTTCCTACAGTAATAATTGGTGTTTTTAAAGCCAGCAAATAAAACAAAAAAAAACAAATGTTGCTGGCCTTTTTGATTCTGTGATGGGCTAGAAGTCTGTCTGTTAGCCAAAATGCAGGTAGCCTTGCTGGTGGCTGAACCGAGGAACTCCTTAGCATTTCCTGGGTAGCTAGAGGCGCTATCACTTAGCGTAATATCTCATGAAGCTTTTCTGGTCGCCTGACAGACAGCTTTTGTCCTGTGAAGGTTGTCCTCTAATGGGCTAACTTAAAGTGAACAGTCCCTAAACCCCACTGAGAGTGGGTGCAGAGGCTAAGTTAAAGCTATTGGCTAAGACGGAGGCTAAGGACGAGTCCAACATTAGCAGCCAATGCTCCAGTTAGTGACTGAATGTCAGTGTAACAGTTGATCCTACTGCAAACACTTATCTTCACTGGCTGTGTTTACATACAAATATTTTTGCCAGTCCAATTGAATACATTCCCATTACAGATTAAGCCTGAGTGTGTTTATAAGCTCAATCTACTCAACAATCTGATGAAAATCTTCATTTACATGCTCACTACAAGTAATCCGATCCAAAATGATGTGCATGCGTGGAGCACCACTTAGAGTAAACATTACCACGACAGCGAACATCACGATGAGTTTTCAGTTGGCATGCTTGTGTTTTTAATTGCTTTAAAATGATGTCAGAGAAATGTACCTCACATGTACTTATTAAAGAAGCACGATATGAAGACGTCGTGTTCTGGGACACATAAGCTGGACTCCCATTCCACAGCCATCTTTTAAAGTTCAGAGCATAAACTTCGCCTCCTCTGCAGACCAGTTTCTGCTCCCGCCACGTTGAACGTTATAAACTTTTTCCAGAGCCGATTTGTGAGTTCTCTGCTTTTGCTATGATGCAAACGCACATGTGCAGATGTTACCCGTTCCAATTGGAAATGTAATCGGATGCAGGCGTTTACATGGCTATTATTCTTCTAATTAACAGATTATTTATAGGATTACCCACCTCGTTCAATCAGATAGAAATTGTATTCCGAATGGCCTCAATCGGACTAGTGTATTCTGATTGAAGTGAGATTATTTCTATAACTTATAAACAGCCTTGTTTGTTGTTATTTTTGAGTTTGAAAAGGGAAATGCGTCAGATCACAAAGATATCTGGGCAAATTCTGCTGCTAAAGATGACGCTGAAGTTCTTTATTAACTTGAGCTAATAAAGAAATGGAACAGCCCTCAATGTATATATATATACACATACATAGAGAGAGAGAGAGAGAGAGAGAGAGAGAGAGAGAGAGGTTCAGTGTAGGTTTTTATGCACTGTACCTATTTTAGATCATGTGTTTAGTGTCTCTGCTTAGTAGTCAGTAACAAATCATCTGAAATTACTGCCAACTCAGTAGTCTTTGGTGTTTTCAGGTCATGTAAAACATGACAAAAATGATGACACCAGGTTTTGTTCTGACAGCAATGATATAAAATATACAATGATTATCAAGGAAAGATGATTAAGGACCAGCAAAGTGGGGTTTCTTAGCCAGAGGGGTGGACATAGCAGCTGTGTGTTATCAGTGACAGATGATTTCATTCTTTTGATCGGAAATAAAACAGTAAAAAAGTCTCCTGACTGCTGTCTCCAAATACTTTTGGGCCATTTAAACATTTAAATCTGTTTACTGCTCAAATGAAGGGTCACATGTCAGTGGTGTTAACTGAGGAGCCTCTGGAGAGGAGCTGAGCGATAAGACTCTCTGAGCAGTAAAACAGTGGAAGGTCATTTTCTCTCCACTCTCGCTCTTCAGTTCTCCCCCTGTTTGTCCCATCAGGCGGCTCCAGCACAGTGGCTACTGGATAGTAAAGACAGACAGTGATTTATGCTGGACTGTCAATTCACAGCTTTCATGCAGATGGTAATTTAACTCGTTTATTGAAGCTAAAACAACTACATGTTTGAACCAAACCATGAACAGTTTTTTACTTGTTTAAATACAGAAGCTCAGTTTTACATGGTTATAAACACTATTATAAAACTGTTACACTGAACTCCAGAACTGAACATTAAAGTAGACTGCATATCATGTTGCTAAATCACAAATACCCAGACAAAGTCTCAAAACCCCAAAAATGACAATGGCTATAGAGACAAACTGTTGATTGCGTGTGAACAGGCCAATCATAACTGATTCACATCTGTACTTAATCTGGTCCAGGAGTTGATCATCAATAAAAATGGGTCATTTCTGGAAGTATTTTGTTTACAATAGACGGTGCATTAGCACAGTGTATAAGCAAGTGTTTATTGTTATAAGATGTACAGAAAATAGAAGATATGTAGACGTTACACTATTCTGTTTGGTAAGATTTTTTTCTGATGTGATGAGTTTCTTCTTCATTCACTCTAAAAAGGGTTTGTCAAACCAACCTAAACAGATTTCATGCAGTAACAAACACTGCGTTTACTTCCCCTTAATAAAAAACCTTTATTGAGACGTCACAAATCAAACTTTCACTTTGAATGAAAGAAATCAATATTTTACATCAATTCAAACTTCAAAACCACTTCAGCTGCTGCTGTTCCACTTTAACAATGTTGTTTACATGATGAGCCAAATAATAATAAACTAATATCAATGTAAAACAGAGCCAAAGAGAAAATAACTCTTTACTACTTCAAAGATTTACATAAATTAGCAGATCTAACATGATCAACCGTTCTTAGTGTTTTGACACTCAGAAAATAAACTTTATGCAACAATGTTCCACATTTCCATTCAATCAAATTGAGCAGAGTCAGTATACACAGACTTTCTTACGTCAACATAGGGTTCAGTGGTTCTTGGACCAAATTTGAAATATTTCAGCTCACATTTTTAAGGTTTTATTCGAACGAAATTCTTTTCAGCTCAACCTATAGAGTTTTCATTAACTGAAACTGAAATTTCTTTCCATTTTATGTAAACCAGTTACTTTAAGACAACACAATTCATTTACTTAAAGCTTTCAGTTTGTAAGTCATACAACCTCTTTGATTAGTTTTTTTTTTTGAGTGTAGGAGACTGTACTCTAACTGACAAAGTACTCTGGTTGTAAGAACACTAGTGCTGATGTTTTGAAGGAATGAATTTATTTTTGAGATGTTTTATCTTTACTCTTTTTGGTGTCATAGTAATGTTTTTATAGCTGTAGAGTATTCTGGGCTGCATGTTTCTGCAGAGAGGAATGAGCAGAGTTTTGAAAAAGTAAACTTGGCACTGAAAACTTCTTGGCAATTGTAAAAAAAAAAAACTAACAGATGTTTTGACTGGAAATTAAACAAAAGAAGGGTGAACTTTCATTTACTCTGATCCAAACATATCATCAGATTCAATAACCAGAGCATTTGTACACTGCATGATGGAATGCACACTACACTAGATATTTGTTTCTAAGGTGAGGCTTTCTGCACAGCGCTGGACACCAGGAAGCTCTAGGGTGGTCAAGCTGACTTCCTCACGGACAGATTTGGAAATGCTTAACCCTTGTGGGGTGTTGATGTTTGT